TCCCTCTCCATCCTTTCTCTACCATTCAAGGATGTAATTTGCAGATACCTTAATGCTCTTGTCCATGCAAATACAGATAAAACAGATAAAARTAAATGAAYRCTTCAGTGTTTTTGATATTTTGCCCCAATGTACCCTCAYATATAAACAACTGCAGAAAGGGGTTCACACCACAGAAAGGGGCTCAGCCCTTGAAAAAGAATGTCTAATAATGAGCAAAGGCTGCCAGGATACAGCAACCCCAACACGAGGCCACCCAGTCATTGTAAAGAAAATCTTTCCATCTTACCTTGAGACACTCTTCTTGTTTGAAGAGATCCTCGCAATCCTTAGCCTGCAGGACAGGAGAATTAAGGCGCTCTTCCACTTCGGACAAGGCTTGCAGRAGGTGAAGGATCTCTGCCAGGTATGTAGAAGGCACGTGAGTGGTTTCCACAGTCCTAGTTTCAGTCATCACAAAAGTTGTATCTTCACGAACTGTTTGCTGGTATAGATATACAACAGAATGCTTCCTTTAGTTTTTTTAATACCAAACCAACTTATAACTTAATGCAATTTCCAGTTCACAACCCAGAAACAACCAAAAGTAACTTCCAAGGAAAAATGCAGGAAATATTTGAGGTTTCTGACACAGATCATTCATTCTCCACTTGTCTGTTTGTAAGAGCAGGTACTGAAATTAATCCATGTAAGAGAGTGAATTTTTTTTCTTCTACTCTCCAAAGAAAAGCAGATAGGAAACGCATAATTATGGTGTTACTAAGATTTTAGTGCAAGCGTTTTCATTTTAAATCATCACTCTGTCTGAAAAATCTGCCCTTCATTATAAAAATTGCATGCATGCCAGGTCTAAAATATTAAATAATTTCAAGTTATCAAGTAAAATAATGAGTTATGTACTAGACACAATTCCTTAAATAAAATGCAACACAAAACAACTACGTCAGCTCTACACTTTCAACACTATAYTTAAAACTTGCTCTTTAAACTAGGAAGAATGATTTGGAATTTTGTGATTTGAAAGGTCTTTAATGCATTCTTATTTTTCTAAGAAAACTCATCAACACACCTCTTCATTAAGGYAGGATTTTTTGTTGTTGTTTTGTGTGGTTTTGTATTTGTTTAATCTGGAAAAATATGAAATAGACACCCTATTCTGGAAGCACATGCATACACCAAATGTAAAGACATCCTAGAATGCTTTGGTTCTGAGAAAAACATTGATCTATGGCACTGAAAGCCTACTGACACATAAGGTGACAAAAAAGTGGCTGTTTATATAAATTCTCTGTATTTCCCATTTGGTTTGTTAATGAATTACAGATAAAAATGTAATAAAAGAAGTGTGCTTTGGAGCAGGGATTGGAACCTGTGATTACTTCTTTAACAAAACTCTGGATATTAGATCACCTGTATATCCATTAGAAAAAGCAAAATTTAAAATATCAATTATTTGTGGTTTCATAGGTTTGTTTACAGATTCCTACTGTGGAGCCAAGATCCTTTCTGTTTGAAGTCTGTCTTCTCAAAAATATAAACTTTAATTATTAAGGACCTCTAAGAATTTTACAAGTAATTGTTGGTAAATATTTAAAACTTCTATTATTTAGAAGCTTCCCTCCTAACAGAAAAGTAAGGATTTTGGAGCCATTTATGTGAAAGGCAATTGATCAATGATCCTGAAGAAAACAATACCATTATTTATCTACACRGTATGCAAAAGAAAACAAATATAAGCACACACTACCTCAGCAAGGTGTCTCATTTTAATTCAGGACATATTTCTCTCTTCAGTTACCGAGCTGAGTCATCTGGTTCATCAATTTTCTTTAGAGTYTTAAAATATGCATATACACACTCGAGAAGATGTATGCATATTACATACAAAGCCCATAAAGTTATCTGTAGACTTGTGTAATTCTGTTGCATTTCTTATGCAAATTTAATTGCTTTGCTTACACTTTTCTCACTAAACGACTTTCTCWGTACATCTGCTAACACTGAAACCTCTCTAATTACCACATCACTGCTATAACTTTTATTATTTAAAATAAAGTGCTTTAAAAAAATTGTGCTTGCCCCCCATATGTTTCATGAATCACACACAAATATGCAAAAATAACAGTTTACTCCAGTGAACCTAAAGGAAAAGTTGTCCCAACTGATTAGAAAAGGTGAGAATCTCAACAGGCCACTGAGACCTGCATGCAGCAATAATTTTAATTCCTAAGACTACACGGTGCCACTTTCACACAAAGCAATGAACTTCAGAYCCACACATTTTAACTATGACTGCATTTTTCTTTTTGACTCAGAGGACAGAATATTTCTATTCACAGTAATGAAAAGAGCATGCTAGGTGTGCAAGGTTTCTCACTCAAAAAGAGGTCACATGAATATGTAAAGCAGCATACAAAATACAATTAATTTCTATAGTTGTATGAGATTAGTCTACCTTTTTCAACCCAAAGTTAGGCTAATAAATGTATGCACACATGTGCACATGCATGTATTTAGATAAAATAAAATCTCTGCTTTCTCACTCTAAACAATTTCTGAAACTACAAAAAAGCCAAGTGGAAATCAGATGTGTGAGCACTTCATGGATATCACACTTTATTATTTCTCGTGGCAAAATCTACCTTTCAATTCCTGCTATGAAGAAAAATGGGTTGTGTGCAAACGTATATTCCCACTGCCCTTCTGGGAAACTTTAAATTAATATTTCTCATAGATGGGTGATTACTTGTATAGTTCTACTATTGTTTATAATGTTATTGGAACTGTAAAATACTACAGTCAGAGAAATAAATAAATAAATAAACAAATGAACACAGGGATGGATMTTTAGAGTAGAGGCCTATCCAAACCTGACCTCATATTTATTTAATCTCTTATTCTAAAAATGAGTCACAGTCAAAATATATTATTTCCTGAACACTACTTAAATAAAAGTGTTGAAAATTTTATACTGCTTTAGAAATCAGCAATTTTATACTGCTTTAGAATCTAGAAATCTATCTTTCCTGCACTGACAGTATCACATAGAACCCACAGCAGAAGTTGGCATCTTGCACCAAGGAATGGAGGGTAAGGCATATCCAGAACTGATCATTTCAATCAGCAAAGGGGAACATTTTCAGTTTGCCCAACATTCCCTGGAACTGCCTAATGATAGAAGATAAAACAGGCAGAGTCCTTCCTTATATCCTGGACAAGCATTTCTTTGATGGAAATGCAAAGCTGAAACTGAATCATATCCTAACAACGTAGTGAGACAAAACTTACAAAGGGAGATCACAGCAGCTGGGAGCACCTACCATTAAAATAATATTAATTCAGTCAAGGCATATGCAATTGCTACTGCCAAAAAGAGTCATCAGAACCATGGCTGGTCAAGATTTCATAAGGATTAAAAATCAATAGGCAAGTGGAAATTAAAGGTTTAGATAACCGTTCAAAAATGGGATTGGAAAAGTTGAATCTGATAAAGTGGTGGAATGCATTAGAGTTACTTTAAAATACTTAAAATATTATTTAAATCTTTAAATTAAAACTATGTAATAAAAAATAATACAAATAAACTGTTGAGTGATTGGGAAATGCTGGGGTGACTGGCCATTTCCTATGTTACTATTTCTGTAAAAAATATTTAAGTGATATTATTTTTTTCCCTTGATTGTCAGTAATATAATGATGCACAAATTATTTATAGTCTTCAAAAAATCAACTTCTTTGTAAGGTTTAACATTTTATGCATCGTTTTGTACCAACATTATCATGTCTAGCATACTAAATTGAATTTTTTTCCCAATCATTACATAATTTTAATTTAGGGAAATAATTCTTCCATGCACATGACTCCACCCAAACTGATTTTATTGGTAGTTGCCATGCCCTATCAGGTGCAACAAAACTGTAGGAAACAAATTCATGAACTGTCCCTTGCAGGGAAGGCCAATAAGCCATACCAAAACAAACCAACCAAATAAAGCAACAAAAACCCCAACAAAAAAGTACCAGAATAACGCAGGTTTTGCCAAGAAATTCACATTTCTTCTCCAAAGAAACCCTTGTGATCATCCCTGCCTACTGTGGTGGCATCAGAGCTAACAAGTCTTGAAGAGTGCTGTTAATTTCCTTTTAACAGTGGAAAATTCAGTGTTAAAGCACCTTTCACCAGTCCCAGTGCATCCATTTCCTTTCCTCTTTTTTCCAGAGGGAATAATCCCAACATCACTTTTGCTGTTCAAGGGTTTACACCCAAAAAGCCTCCAAATTTTTTGTGTCAGATTTTGACAACTGTTCCATTTTTGATCCCTTCTCATGATAGACCTTCAAACCTCGGTGTCTGTGCTTTTGATTTAATAACTTCACACAAACATGGGAGGAGTAAAGCAGTAAAACACTCCCATCAGCACTGCTGCACCTCCACACTGCTCCTGGCAGCATCCTCATGGGAAGGTCAAGGAGAATTAAAATATTCTCCTCTTCCTGAACTGAAATAATACTTGAGAAATTATTCTTTACAAGCAGCTGTATATGACAGCGCAAAAAGTTGTCACCTCTGCAGAATAAACATGGGTGTGGTACAAATAGGAGAAAAAAGGAGCAGATAGCAGACACCTTCTGGACAAAGGCAGTGATACCTCTAAGAGTCAAAAAAAAAGTGATTTTTGTAGTATTTACTAGCCCATGTTCACCATCAATATAGCAAATAAAYAATTATGACAAAATGCTATCAGAGGATAATAAAAGCACTTTAAATTACATATTTATAAAAAAAAAAAGCTTTTATTCACCCATTCCTATGCCAGCTGTGAGGGATGAGGTCRGCTAACATTCAGAAAAAATAATTCTGTCTTCAGTGTTGATAACATATCTTACCTGTTAGTGTGTATATATGTAGGAAGATCAAAATTATACTAATAATATGGAATTTTCACTATTGGGGTGGATGGCCTTAGTCAATCACAAACAAGTTATCTATCAGTACAAAAAGAAGCACCTCTTTCAAGTCCAGAGAGACTTAAATCTTCGATGCAGGAATAAAAATTTATAAATTCCTCATGTAATTCTATGAAGACAAGACTTTAAAAGGCACTTGGAAACAATAAAATATCCGTTAAATATTGGGGGAAAAAATAACATAAATATTGTCTCATGTATATGATGTTTTTTTTTTTTTCCTGTACTCATGTTGAAGAGTAGCTGCAGGCCACAAAATCCTACACATTGCAACACTTAAACCACATAGTTTAATGCTTGTGTCTGATTTAATCAGTGACTTATATAAAAAAAATAGAAACTTTAAAAATACACATGACTATTTTCAGCACTGTTCTTGGACAGAGAGTGCTTTATGTCTGCACAACACTTCTCTGCTAAGGCATAACTTACTTGAGAAAACTGCTTTAACAGTTTTTCTTCTGTGAAAAAAAAAAAAAAATTACTTGATCCATACATAAAATTAAATAATGCCAG